TACCTTTAATGCATGCTTCATTACATGTAAGGTATACGTAATTTTGTCAGTGATCACCTTTTCTCACAAAGCGAGATACCAAATCCAGTGCAGCTCGAAAAAAAAGCCTGTCAATTTACCGTTAAGCGTTGCCGACCGTCCTGAATTTACCGTTAAGCGTTATCGGCCTTGCTGAATTTACCGTTAACCGTTGCCGGGACCCCCCCATGCAGACCCTCTGTACTGTTTTGCTCCGCATGTCTGCTCATAATTGCTCAGTCCTACAAAATTGCACTATGCATTTTCCCTGTGAGGAATTCCTCACCGGGAAAATGCTCAGTGCATTTTTTTGGTGCTTTTCTTCATACAATCATACGATGCCCAAATCTATATGGTGGAGCTTAGTTCAGTCTCCTCATAGTGATGTTGAATGCTGAAAAAATTAAACTCTCCAAACAAGTTTAAATACGTTCAATACTTGACAATAGTCATCTCATGCACATAAACGCTCAAAACTCAAAAACGTACTAGTAATTGCCTAATATGAAAAAGGCAGGTATATTAGGACAAATCTGGAACGGACAGGGGGGTTGGGTAAAATGGATCTGGACCGGACAGGGGGGTTGGGTCAAACAAATCTGGACCGGACAGGGGGGATGGGTCAAAATAATGAAATTGGACCGGACAGGGGGGTGGGTAAAAAAAAATTCTGGACTGGACAGGGGGGTTGGGTCAGAAGCTGATTTGAGACCTCTTCCACCCCCCTCCACAGTTATTTTTTGTAACAGCCCAATCCTGCCTAGTCACCGACCCTGTGTCCTTGGGAAAGGCACTCTTGTGTGTGTGCCCGCGCGCGTTTGTGTGTGTGTGTGTTTGTGCCCGTATGTGTGTATGTGTGTGTGTGGGCTTGTGCCTGTGTGTGTGTGTGTGTGTGAGTATGTATATGTGTGCATGTGTGTGTGTGCATGTGTGCGCGTGCGTGTACATACACGTATTTTGTCAAACAGCAAATGAGCCCAAATCAAGAGTTGCAACGACTATATCCTTGTGTCATTTATTGAGATTCAATCTAATTGGGAAAATACATTGTTTTCTGCAAATCTCCATGATTTCTCCATTTTCTCATTTTAAGCTGGACATGGCGATGGCAGAACAAGGGTCTCCCACCGGAGTTGGTCAGAACTGCTGCGATGGGTCTCCCACCGGGGTTTCCCAGGTTGACTGTGACAGCAAAACAAGCAATGCTCAAGCCCAGTCGGCAGCACAACAATTAAGCTTGGATAATGCTGGTGAGAAACCCTATATGTGTTGGGAGTGTGGATACAGGGCAGCTGACAAGTCTCACTTATCCCAACATATGAGAACCCATACAGGAGAAAAGCCCTACAAGTGTGACCAGTGTGACTACTCTGCAGAACAGAAATATGATTTGGACCAACATCTAGCAAAACACACTGGCGACAAACCCTACATGTGTGGAGTGTGTGGGTACAGGACAGCTTACAAGTCTGACTTATCCCGACACATTAAAAACCACACAGGAACAAAACGCTACAACTGTGACCAGTGTGACTATTCTGCTGCACGGAAATCCACCTTAGATTATCATAAAGCAACACACACTGGTGAGAAACCCTACATGTGTGGGGAGTGTAGGTACAGCACAGCTGTAAGGTCTCACCTATCCCAACACATGAGAACCCATACAGGAGAAAAACCCTACAAGTGGGACCAGTGTGAGTATTCTGCAGCATGGAGATTTTATCTGGACAAACATGTAGCAAATAACACTGGTGAGAAACCCTACATGTGTGGAGTGTGTGGGTACAAGACAGCTTGCAACTCTGACTTATCCAAACATATGAGAATCCATACAGGAGAAAAACCGTACAAGTGTGACCAGTGTGACTATTCTGCTGCCCAGACATCCACCTTAGAGGTCCATAAGTCAACACACACTGGTGAGAAACCCTACATGTGTGGGGAGTGTGGGTACAGGACAGCTGTAAGGTCTCACTTATCCCGACATATGAGAGCCCATACAGAAGAAAAACACGACAAGTGTGACCAGTGTAGCTTCTCTACAACCTCGAAGTCAGCCCTAACTCAACATATGAAAATTCACAAGGAAAGTCCAAATCTGCAACTGTGATTATCTACTACATTTAGTTTGCTTGATCATTCCTTGGTAGTTTTGCCATACTGAAACCAACCATTAAGGATACTAGTATATCACATTGATACTAAAAAAATTTAGGCTAAATATTCTGTGAGAATTGATAATGCATGTATTTACAAATTGGCAAAGGTTTTTTTTCCATACCCCTATGCTTTTGTCAACTTTATTTCGAATTAATGTATAACTATAATGTACAGTAGCTATAAAAACAATTCACATTTCTTATAGTTTAGTTTATTAATCCAAATTTTTTGTTCTTCTTTCAGTTCTTTTGAGCAAAAAAAATAATTTTTAGCTATCTAGAATTGTAGTGGAAAACAGTATTGGATAACGTACCTATGCATAGTCAGTAATTAACATTGGCAAGTGATCGTACACAGAATTTCAAAAGTAGAGGTTAGCGTTTTTTGTATGAATGTGCTATCTTCTTGTTTCTAGTAATAGTTTTCCCTGACGGAGTATGTTCCCATATGTACTACAAAAATATATTTTGACCAATATCAACTCTGTAAACTAGCGTTTGGTTGCGGTAAAACCTTTAATGCCGATAGCATTGCAATTCTAGAAAGTAATTTTAGACTCAGAGAAAAACTATAGACGTTATGTTGTATACAAGCAGAATTCTCTTAATCGAAGATGTAGCTTCATATATTTACATCTAACACAATTGAATTGTAGAGTACATTGAACACAATGCCTTCTGTTCTGGTGACTTTTTTTTCATGAATAGAGTTTGTCAATTGGTCTCATTAGAAATCACGATTCAGACCAAACAGGCTAAGCTGTTATTTTCTATCTCCCTTTCATATAATATTAGACTAGACAAGAAAATCGGGCGCATGTTACGTCGTTTTGGTCGTCTACTTCTAAAAGTGTGTAAAAGGTTTATATTGTGAGGAAACTTAAACGTAACGTGCCACCCGACGTCAAATGTACTACATGGGTAATCAGATAGACTTAACCTTTGACCCAAAGGGCGTTCACCTCTGACCTCGCGAGGCGAAGGAAGGACAGAGAGAGGGGGACCAGTGTTGGCGCATGCGGGGAAGGGCCAGTTTGCATGTCCCTGCACCTGCCCTATTCCAAGAAGTTCTAGGTATTAGGGGAAGCTTGTTAGAGTCCAAGGGCCCTGAACTTGGCTTGTGCCCCTCCCCCCCAGCTTTCCTGGAATATCCTAGTCATTTTACAGGTGTCAACTGTATGATGGACCAAATATGATGTATTGTTTTAGTAAATCTTGGTAAGATTGCCCCTCTTGTCACACTCGCCCACCCAAATCCCAGTGTCAGCTACCCCTGCTGTCACAGTGTTAAATTGGCTTCAAAGTGTGAATAATAAATGTCAAGCAGACACAAAGAGATCAATCAGTGTCTTGTTTATCACTGTTGACAATGAAATCATGATCTGTTCATTGACTTGTCCCTTAAATGACAGATTGTGCCCTTGTAACTCCCCTAGCTTTCCTGAGCAGACCTGTGCTGACTGCCATTACATGCAAGCATTAGGCATAGCTGACACCTGTTAAATAACTACCTGTCATATTTTCGTTGATGATGGGAGGACTATAATTTTTAGGGATATTGCTAAGATGCCTTTCCTGTAAGACTTGATGTCAGTTATATCTACATATCTCGTTGCAGGGGAACCTGTAAGGAGGGGGACCAGTGGTGGCGCATGCGGGGAAGGGCCAGTTTGCATGTCCACAATATTTTTTGTGTTATTATTTTTGAGAATTTTTTCCTGGTTGAATCCTGAGTCCATTTTGGCCATAGGGAGGTCAGACATGTGTTTACTTTTGAAATCCAGAAAGAAATGGTGACCTTTGCCATTGGTGGTGGTATAGAATTACATGTTTTGAGAGGGGGTTTTCCAGCACAAGACGTGTGGTTCCATGCTGCAGGTTCAAAGGTCAGTGATTGTTTACATTTAAAGGCCTGTAGCGCTTTAACTAGCAGGAGTCGAACCCGAGCTTTTTTCCAAAAACGGCAACTAGACATGTTTAGCTGTCCAGTGGATGGAATTTTTGGGACCTTGCAATTCTAGTAAGTGTACTTTGAAGCCTGTTTTTGTTCCTTGTTTTGTACAGGATCTATTGGACATCTAATCCCCTGCTCCCTCCCCTGTACTGTGCTGTATTGTATCTGCTTGGAATACTCTGATGTTAAGTAAAAGAAACAGATTACAGGAGATGTTCAGTGGATGCGATTCGCTCACCCTTAATCTGAGACCATAATAATGAAAGAAAGACCTTTATTGTACGTTTGTGCTCTAACAAGCTAAGTACAGGTCATGAATAGGCAAGGAAAAAGGATACAGCAATGACATTTAAACTATACGTACTAATGTGATCTACTATTTACATTGTTCGACTTCTTCTCGCTTCTTGACGCAGTTATAGATGTAGGAGCATATAGAACTAGTGATACATGGTTTGTCAAGTTTCATAAGAAATATGAATTTTCTGCTTCATTTAAATGTCCAAAGCTAGGGAACTTATCTATTATATAAGAATATAGGGAATCTCTCTCATTACTATATGACGTACAATCGACTACAAAATGATACTCATCCTCAATCTTATCTAAATCGCAAAATTGACAGGTCCTTTGATCTAGAGGAATGCGGTTGTGTCTACCTTTTTTATGTGGAGTTTGTTTGAACTTATCCGGAGTTTTGTGATGGCTGTTCTGTGTCGAATGTTTGTAATTATGGGTTCACCACACCACGAAGTGGTGAGGTGAAACCATATTGCTTTTTCTGGTGTTTCTTCTCCTCCTTCTTCTCCTGCCATTTTTTAAATGGATTCAGCTTCTTCATTTTAGGGCCTAAGGTCCTGAAATTTGGTATGGAGGTACAGTGGGCAAATACCCCTAGGCGTTTTTTAAATTTTGTGATACAGGCTTTTAGAATGTTTTTATTTGAGTTTTTTTGGCTGTGTTATAGCAAATGTATTACTGTGTTAGTGTGCCTTGTTTACCACGTCTGGGCATGAGTCATCACAATGGAATGCAGGGCATCAACCAATAGGCATGCAGCTTTCCTCTATACTTCTTGCTGATTGGCTGTTGGGATTTAACTTGATTAACACCCGCACAGAGCATTTCCACCTGCACAGAGCATTTCTTGCTGATTGGCTGTTGGGATTTAACTTGATTAACACCTGCACAGAGCATTTCCATACTGACAGTATGTCTTTATTCAAGTGTTTTGGTAGGTATTTCAAGCTTTTCTGCTCCAGCATTGGAATGCGGGGCATGGTAACGTTTTTTTTTATTTTGAAAATCAACAGTTTGCATTATGCAATTAAAAATCCTAACCAATAAAGTAGGGAATAGCTATCCAACTGTTGTTTTAGTTGTATTTTACTTCATACTATAGTTATATCAATGTAAATCATTGTTTTCCCTTGTGTTTCTCATTCTTTCCCTGCCATGTCGTAAAATGTGGTGAACCCATCGCTGTATTTGCTCCAAAGCAAATATTGGCCTTTCTAGTTTTTATTTTGAAAATCAACAGTTTGCATTATGCAATTAAAATCCTAACCAATAAAGTAGGGAATAGCTATCCAACTGTTGTTTTAGTCGTATGTTACTTCATATTATCATATAGCGGGGTGACGTTGACCAATCAGAAGGCTCCATTCCACATTCTTTATTTTGCCGTAATGTCACAAATAGAGTCAAAATCGGGTATTTATTCATCCCAATCCATACATTAAACAAAATGAATAATCACCCGCATATGACCTCAGGTGACCCAATAGAACACGGCTCTACTTCTAAAAAATCAAAAAATAACTTGAGTTGTGTTCCGATGACCTCGGGTGACTCCCATAAGAACAACTGTTCCCTGCCTGTGACCCAGATAGAAGGCCATAGAACGTGAACTCCCCAGTGACCTCAGGTGACTCCAGATGGAACAAATATTCTATGTTCTATTCAGCATGTGCAAGGGGTAAATTGTACATTGTGTCACTCTTCACTGCATCAGTTTCGATAGGCTATCGTGCAAGCTATATGATAATAGCGTTAATGGCCCGCCCCTTCTCGGTGAATATGGTGTGATAAAGCCTTGTCAGTTGCTATAACCACCTCATAAAGCCACCTCGTTCGCTGCGCTCACTTGGTGGCTTCATTCGCTGGTTATAGCAACTGACAAGGCTTTATCACACCATATTCACCTCGGGGCGGGACATTAACCCTTAATTATAGTTATATCAATGTAAATCATTGTTTTCCCTTGTGTTTCTCATTCTTTCCCTGCCATGTCGTAAAATGTGATGAACCCATCGCTGTATTTGCACCAAAGCAAATATTGGCCTTTCTAGTTTTCAGATATTTTTCCTCGTGGTAAGTATCTTTTAATAATCTGTATGTCCGTAATTTGTTGTTGTTCCGCATTTCTGATATAAAAGATTGGAGATACATGTCCTTAAGACGTTGGTTGATGGAAGATATAATTTGGGGCAAATTGAAGGTAGAAGACAAGGACGAATGCCAAACATAAGCAAAACCGCATTCCTCTAATGTCTTACGCACACCCGCAGCATAATAATGAACCTTGTCCCTCACCAGCTCATGTCTGACTATCGGTACATCGCGCCGGTGGAGGAAGTGTTATTGGCAGGGGGCGGCAGGGAGCGCTTCAACCTACAAGTACAGCTTCGGTTATCAACCCAACCCGGACAGATGGCCATCATGACGAGGTAAAGTGTTCACGGTCATGTATCATGAGTGATATATTTTGCTAGCCTCTACCAGGCTTGAGGGCGCGGCTGGAAATAGTAGAAATTGGCCAAATAGAGAGATAACACGCCGACGGAGTTTAGCCATCCAGTTTACAGTTTGCCGGCCCCTCGGCTAACATTTTGCACTTTTAATGTAACTTTGACTAGCAAATGTAAGGTGGTGACATATTCATACTTTAGGAGAGAGTTAACTTGAGAGAATTTCTTGCTGTTCTGAGATCTATAGCTGATGCTAAAGTACACTGTATGTTTGCATGCCTGTGAGGATTTGCCGATTCTGGAGTTATACGAGTGGCTACGTACATGTTTATTCTATAGGAGTGCCCCATGCGGCAGAACTCCGCTTTCTGTTCAACATAACGACTCAGTTTGTGGACGGCGCGCCCACAGCGGCTGACATGGACATGCAGGACAAGATGGTCACACTGTGGACCAACTTCGCCAAGACAGGGTGACGGTTACTTACGTTTTAAACTTCAGTGTGTGTTTTCATGTAAAATTTTTGATGTCCCCGTACAGCACGCGGTGTGACTGTCGTGAGAGTGAATGCGGTGATCCGTCGGGTGTTGTCTGAGGGGATTTACCCCGACGCAAACTTTTTTCCGAAGGGGGAATCACACAATGTGCAGTATTTTCGTGACACCAACCATCTTTTTCTTGTAGCGCTGCTATAAACATTGCTGTTAATGTGATATTTACAATTTTCAACAAAAGTTGTGATCGCCATGCGTTATATACTTTCCGGAGAATTGGAATATCATATTTCTTGTTCCATTCTGGTATAGTATAGAGACGGTCGCACACTTTCTCCTCAGCTGCCCTCTGTATGAGGACGCACGGCAAACACTTGGCACCGAAGTACGTCGGCTGATAGAGTGACCCCTCTCTACGGACTCTACCAACATCCTTCTCAACGGTTATCCAGGTTACGACCCTCTCACAGATCGGCCGCTCTTTACACTTATATTTCATTAACGAACCGTCCATCTATTCCTACAACACTGTAAATATTGAAATATTATATATTTGAATTACCTCTGTCCTCCTACCATACTTAATTATATTGTTACTTTTTTTATACTGTCATTAGCATAGATTATGAATTGTAAGTATAAGAGATTTCTGTGATTTGTGACTTTATTGTGTTATGATGTGTGTATGTTTATGTAGACTGGACTGCCAATGATGATGCAGTGTTCGCAATTTAAATAAATAAAATTCTGGTATAGTGTTAACGCCAACTTTATCAGAGCTACACGTCACAAACACCAATGCCGTGCTCGTAAATTCGTTG